AGAAAGTTGATCGGGATTTTCCCACGTTGTTCCCCTTTGGTGTTCACATTGGCGTGGATGTAAAATATCCTTTGACAGTTGCAATTCGAAATAAGAGTAAGCCGTAGCGCCACTGCCCGTGAGCAGAACAGGAGGACTTTAAACCCCATTTCATTTCATTTCTTTATCTTACTCCTTCACACTGGTCGCACATCGATCGGGTACGATAGCCGTTCGCCTTTAATTTATTATGCCACGTGTGATAGCTATAGCATTCCCCAAAAATCAACCATAGGCTTATGAGACTAGCGATCAAACCCCATTTTATTTCATGTCTAATGTAATTCTATTTTCCATTCAACATCCGATGGTTGACATGACCCGATAGTTGAAAGTAGGTGAATCGTAACATGGAAGTAGAGAGTACATGAATAATTGTTAATATTTCCTCGAAGGGAAATTATATAAGTCTATTACACAGCGGTAATGCGAAAGCCTTCTTTTAACTCTGTACAAGATAACTTTACTGGTCTTGAAGTTCACGTGCTGAATAGTTCTACGTATGACGTCACGTGACATCGATAATAGTGATACAAACTAGTCCGGGCAGAATTGGTGCCTTTACACATTTTACGCCACTGTGTTCTATTTAATGTGCCCATTTACACTAAACAGAATTTTTTTTTCATCCAGATATGCTTCAAACCCCTTTATTTGTTTTTCTAAAATGTTTTTTAAAAAATGTTTTTGAAATTAATCATACTTGAAATTCCAGAAACGAAATGACATGGAGTTTAACGACTAGGCTAATGAAGACAGGCAAACGCCATACAGTGTGCCGCGAGGGCAATTTTTCCCGGACAGCGTTACTACGGTCTACTCGAATTCCAACTGCCAATGGTTCTTTTACGTGCACGCTCTTGGGTCCCTGGGATCTCGGTTTTTCGCCCCATCCGAGCGACTAATTAATTTTTACGAAAGTAAAACAGTTAATATATTTACTGCTGAGCACCGCAACGTAAGATGCTTATAAAGATAGAAATGGGGTTTAACGTCTACTCGATACAAACTAGTTCATTTATTCAAATAATTCGCTTGTGCGCAGTGGTTTTTAGCTGTTGGAGAGAGAGAGAAATGGGGTTTAACGTCCACTCGACACAAACTATGTCATTTCGGGACTAACATATGGTTTAATTTTATTTCAATAATTCGCTTGCGCGTAGGGGTCTTTAGCAGTGGGAGGAAACCGGAGGACCCGGAGAAAACCCACGAGGTTGGACAGGCGACCCTACTCCTTGTCACGTACAACCGGGGATTCGAAACCACGCTAGTTGACTCAATGACAGGTCGTATAACACAGCACGCACGTGCTAATCATTCGGCCATCCAACCCCACCCCCACCCCCCAGCTGTTAGAGGAAACCGGCGGTCTCATAGAAATCCCACCAAGGTTGGACAGGCGACAAGTCCATGCGGGGAATCGAAACAACGTCATTTTGTTTAATTCGGCCACCCAACCCGCCAATGGTTTATAAAGTGCGACTTTACCATTGATGTTTTCAGGGCTATTGGTTATAATGTGGTTTATTTGTGTCAAAATGTTTCTATTCGTCATACATAAAGTATGATATTACAGGAAATAAACACAGATTAAAGAGATTTTTCGTCTGTTCTATATCCAACATTTATGACTAACTGAAATATTATATAAGCAGCTTATCTTTATTAGCCGAGTCTGCGCAGAAAAGTAGGATGCTAAACCCCATTTTATTTCATTTCAATTATATAATTCCAACTATCGCCGTTTGACCCGCCCTTTGCAAGATATTAATTAAATCTTTGCTAGCTCCTAGACAAAAAATTCTACAGCAAACAATTATTACTAACTTCATGCACGTCCATTAACCATATAGAGAATAATAAATGTTCTATGTCTAGACTCTCCTCTCCTTTAAAAGATAACCTACCGAAGTTCCCAAGGCTAATATCTTCGCTCGCAATTAAGTAATTTGAATGAAATTTTCAAATTATTAATTTTACATTATCTATTTTCGAACAATTATAGCACGAATGACTAGCTCTTTATCTAAATCTTACATAATGTATATTTAAGTAATTAGCCGAAAATCATTAGAAATTATTTGGCTTTTAGTTCTGCCCCATGCTAATGTTTAGTATACGAAACAACTCTGCTAGAAATTATCGGAAATCGTTGAAAATCAATAGGCTTCTTCGTCTCATGACCTTAAAGACTGTGTATAAATCTGAAGCCAATCGGATATTAACTTTAGCCTCTAGAGCGTCCACAAGATATTTCAAAGTGATCAAGGGACATAACTCTAGCAGTAATTATCGAATATGAATTTATATAAGCCCCGGTTTGTTATATTATATTTATATTATGTAAATATTTATTGAATAAATAGTGTTAGAAAGAAAAAAAACGTCAAAACGATATTTCAATGTTTGGTATCTTTTTAAGTTTTAATTACATATTTTTTTTTTTCATTTTTTTTTGTTTTGTTTTTTGTTTTTGATTTAAACAGTATTTATTCATATTACTTATATACAATTATAAAGAGGGTAATATAAATAACTGGATCGAGTAACAACATCTTGATACTTACACAATTACGCGCATAATGTGGTGATATCATAAAGTGAGTAATCTAAATAACCAGGTACAATAACAAGCTACTCAATGCTTACATAATAATTACGTACATATTATGGGGGTATCATAAAGGGAATAATATAAATAACCAGATACAATAACAAGCAATGCTTACATGATTACATACATATTATGGGCATGGGCATACCATAAAGGAAATAATATAAATAACCAGATACAGTAACAAGCTACTCAATTCTTACATAATTACATACATATTATGGGCATGGGGATACCATAAAGGGAATAATATAAATAACCAGATACAGTAACAAGCTACTCAATGCTTACATAATTACATACATATTATAGGGATAACATAAAGAGAATAATATAAATAATCAGATACAGTAACAAGCTACTCAATGCTTACATAAGTAAGTATATACATACATATTATGGGTATGGGGGTATCATAAAGGGAATAATATAAATAACCAGATACAGTAACAAGCTACTCAATGCTTACATAAATAAAATAAAACCAAGTACGAACAATCCAAACCATTAGACAAAATTCGAAGTCCTAAAAAACAGTATAGGCAAAATAGTGTAATAAGGCAAAATAGTGTAATCAGCATATGGACTGTTCACCGTGTACAAAATACACGACAAACAGTGGTAACAGGTGTCCGGAAGAGTAAGCTTACCCTGCCTGGCGCCACACCCGCCATAGCTGCATCCAAACTATTAGGCGAAATTTCGGTAAAATAGCGTGATTGGCCAATGAACTATCGGTATGCAAAATGCACGTGATAAACAGTGTTAACGATGTAGTAGACAGACATTATCAGGGAGATTGTATACGCGTCAATTAAACATATCTAGAATATTTACCAAGCAAGTCAATATGACGCCCATAAAACTTTTTAAAGGTTTTAATAAGTTTAGTTCGCAAGTATCCCTGTAGTTGAAGCTTAGATGACAAATATGGGGATAACATAAAGAGAATAATATAAATCACCAGATACAGTAACAAGTAACTTAATACTTACATAATTATATACATATTATAATGACCTAGTTTGTGTCGAGTGGACGTTAACCCCCATCCTCTCTATTTGTTTAGAACAGTATACGTCTAAGACGACTGTCCTAAATTGTCATATTCATATACCTGTATTATACATTTATGCGCGACTAACATGAATAAAGAATAAACATGTCAGGGGCGTGTTATATCGAATACTTCTTGCATTCATACCGTATAGTTGTATACATAAATCTATTGTACGTATATTTAAACAGTAAGTTGTGTTTAAAAAACAGCATACATATTTAAGGTCACCGATCACGAGACGATGTATATATTTCTAAATATAGCACATATATCATATTATCCAAGGGCTATTTTATTTATTATTTTAATACTTTAAAAAACGATATATATTGGATACGATAACAAGCTTATTTCATCAGCTTGTATAATTATCAGCTTGTATAATTATCAGCTTGTATAAAAACATCTGTTATGGTGAATCATTAACTATTAACAAGCTTGCAACTGACAATCATTATGTTAACATTGCTCAATATTTTGAATTGGGTGGCTCTTATGTAGAACACACTCCTTAAGGGGCTAAATCTATTTGTTAAGGCCAGTTCAATGTTTGCAAGGTCGCTGAGATGTAAAGATGGTTGGGACACGTGATTGTTGGCGATATTGTCGATTAGGGTTAGGGCAAGTATTGGGCTAGGTCCAGGTTAGGATTAGGGTTGGGATCAGCGCTATAGCCCTGTTTACATCTCCTGACATTGAGCTGGCCTTGTCATTTAGCACTAACCCTAAATGACAAGATTAGAAGAGGTTAGCAATAGATAATCATAATATGGGCATGTATAGAGTAACGGGATTGCTCGGGTGGGAGATTTCAATTAAAGACAGAGTAATCTCTATATAAAGTTTCATTGATATCTAATAGACTAAATTTGTTATCTCGGTCAACCAGTGAAAGCAACATCAGTTTATCGGGTTTCATGTGGTTACTAGTAATATCTCAAAATACATAAAACTTAACAAAATCAACATTTTCATTTTTCACCGAAATATCACGAACATATATGGGCCAGATAGGATTCTAACCTTAAGCCCAGTCACTAAACCTGGCTCTCATTATTTATCCTGTCTGGTATTGCCGAAACGGCGCTACCATATCACACGCGTACCGGTGGGGTAACTGAAAACTGCCCAAAAACATTCCGAATGTAAATATGATAAATTATCAAATCAAATTCTGACAGTGGGATCACGAAGGGTCGTATATTTGACCTCGATACGATCGACGGGTAATACAACTATTGACATGTAAACAATGGACTGTTTTCAATACGCCACGTCACATAATGCATAACAAGCCTGTTGAACAAGGAAGTAGAAACGACGGGTCTACTTGAGCTTAGATTAGAAAATAAAGTACATTATTATGCTCGGCAGTCATTAGTGTGTCGATAAATAGGAGTGTTCGTTCTCGTGTTTACTCTCTGTCACATGAAACAAACGTACAGGAGGATTGATTGAATTGTCTTAAATTGTCAAGATGAATAAGATGACCTCGTTTAACGAAGCGTTCTGGGGAACGGATTACCTGAGTACCTCAGGATTCGACACGATGGTGAAACGAGTCCTCGATGGAAAGTCGTTATGCAAGGACATGGAGGGTTACTTCAAACAGAGGGCGAAAATGGAAGCGGATTACAGCAAATCTTTAGCCAATATAAGTAAATCTTTAAAGAGTCGAGACAATATTGGACAGTTGGAGGCGTCTTGGAACGCACTCCGATGTGAGACGGATGTAGCCATGACGATTCACGCGGATGCTAGTAAGCTTTTCTCTCAATTAGCAGAAGAAACCCGTAAATTTATAGAAGAGGCCAACTCGAAGAGAAAACCATCGGAAGAAAAAATGAAAAAATGTCAACAAGTCAAAGCGACGAATTACAATAAAATGACGTCAGCGAAAAAGCTGTATAATCAACGCTGTAAAGACAGTGATATTGCTAAGCAGAACTACAGCCTTTTGAAGACTAGCGTTACCATCACTGCGAAGGATTTGGACAAGGCAAGAAATCAGGCCGAAAAATGTGCCGAGCAGGCGGACAAGGCAGATCAAGCTTATCAGGAATCAGTGAAGGGATTAGAAGATGCCCGGATCCAGTGGGAACAGGAAATGGTCACAGTTTGTGAAACCTTCCAAGCGATGGAAGAGGAACGAATTAACTTTTCAAGGGACGTGTTATGGGCGGCGACTAACGTGGACTCAAAAATCGCCGTCGACATTGATGAGTGCGGTGAAAGAGTGCGGACTAAGTTAGAATCATGCCACATAAAAGACGACATTTGTGCTTTTATTGAAAAATTCAGAACTGGAGAAGCTAGGCCAATGGCTATTCCTTATGAGAATTATTATGGTGTGGTAAATGAAAGTCATTATGCGCAAATATAGTCCAGAATAGATGGGGTATTTCAACGTATTCTTGCGTATCCAGCTCACATCTAGCAAATAACAGTGGCCGGTTTGTCCCAACCTTTTCCAATCATCCCGATATTTCGTTCCGCTAATTTTCCAGTTGTTTAATCAATGATAACTACAAAAAATAAAACGAAACGAAAAAAAAAACAAAAAAAAACCCCAACAACTTTGGGTTTAATTCAGATTAGGGGAAGAATATTACAATTTATGATCTAGTGAGAAAAATAATATGAATTTATTTTTAAAAGACAATCGTTATGTTAAAACTCCCACAAATATTAGGGAATGAATCGCCATTGTGACATTGTCAAGAAATATCACAATTTATGATCTAGCGCGAAAAATATTAATTTATTTTAGAAAGTCAGTATAATTTTAATATGTTAAAACCAGCACTACTTTACGGAAATGGAGTAACGTTAGACTATTTATTTATTTATTGAGATGTAAACAATCTTGGGTAAACAATCGCTTTAAACATTTCAACTAAAGTAAACAGTGATTGTGTACAGAGTGTGATCTATATTACAATAAAAGATCTGTAATTGTTCAGACCTATCGAACCGTGTTCTTTAAATATAAACCATGTCTGTTGTGGGGCGAGAGAGAGAGGGAGAGAGAGAGGGAGATCTGAACTGGCATGAGGAGCCCAATTCCGTGGTGGGGGATAGTTTGAACTGTGTGGAACATGTCCTAGTTGATTTTAGTCCCGAAATGACATGTCCCTAGTCGATTTGTAGCACGTCTGAGGCACGGTATATTTATTTTTTTATATAATTTGCTTACACGTAGGGGTCTTTATAGTAGTGGGAGAAACCCAACAAGGTTAAGCAGAGTCGATCTTACTCCTCCTTGTCACGTACAAGTGTTGGATCAAAACCACGCTACTGACACAGTGACAGACCTTATGATTTAAAAAAGCACGCGTTAGATCATTCGACCAGCCCCAGCCCCTTCTTCTATTAGTATTAGTGTTTAACGTCCGCTTCCACCGAGGGTGATATCGCAAACAAGTTGTCTTATTTTCATTATTAGAGCACGCGCATGGGTCTTTTCTGTGGAACGATACCGCGGTACCTGAAGTAAACCCACGAGGTTGAGAAGGCGCACCCATATCCAAGTCACACCAGGGATCGAAACTACGACCGCAAGCCAGAGGTGACCGACCAGCTAGACCACCAAGTCCATCCAAACCCCCCGCTCCAGCCCCACCCTCGATCCCCATATAGGTTAGTTTTGATATAAAGTCTGCGACATGGCCTTGGGTGGGCGGACGTTAACAATGAATCTCGTCGTCATCATAATATGCAACAGGACAGTTTACCCAATACTACCCAATACTAATTAAATACTACCAAATACCACCACATGCTACCTCATTATGGTGAGAAACTATCACCGTTGTTGAATGTTCTCCACGAATTAACACAATTTGTTTTTATTTAATTGATTATGTTAGTTTTTCACAATAATAGAGTGAGGAAGTATGTGGTAATATTTGGTATTATTTAATTAATATTGGGTAGTATTTATTTAGTATTGGGTAGTATTAAGTAAATCTTCCTGTCCCATAATATATGCGGTAGACATGTAAATGGACTGTAATGTTGATTTAGGGAAGTGAAACTGCTTTGCGAGCTTATTGAATGCTCACACAAGTAAAACCACGCCGACAAATCCCGGGGAACTTAAACGTCGATTTAGGACTTAAAATATCGGTCAACTAGCTTATTAAAATAAAACACTTGTTAGAAACCCGTTGATAATTTATGATCCAAGGAGAAAATAAATGTTGATCCTGATGCTGACAGAAAGGGTGAATCCACTAAATAACTTGTGGCAACTCAAAAATCTTTCAGTCTATGGAAACTTTGTTTTCATTGTCAAGTTTGGAGACAACTTGTACGCGAACCTACGACAATTTGATCACCGCGATTTTAGCATTAGCCCTACCTACCCCTAACTCAGACGAGCTACCTCCTATTACCACCAGTTAGCACATAATTTAACCCCATGCGGGCGAAACGTCGATAGGTCTACCCTTGAACTGCACCCTTTGAAATTCTTTGATTTGTTTTATATCGCCCAGAATGTCTACCCACAGTTCGCCGGGCCAGACGATAAGAATTGGACTCAACAGAAAATTTGATCGGTTAATCCACCACATCAACGAGAACACGGGTTATTTGACATATCTACCAGGTCCTAGTGTAGTGAAGGCAAGTAAAAGAATATACGCTTCGATGCGTCAGTTTAAAGATACATTATGGGAGATTAAATAAAGAGCTGACAGTTCTCACTACAATAGTTAAAACTAGATAATGTAAAGGGAATTTGCTGAAAATTTCAGTCAAATTGATCCACTCTGAACCGAGATTTTAGCGATTTCGGTCTAGCCTCGATCATCATTACTAAATTCGGTACGATAGAAAACATATTCTCGATTATCCATTTCATGATTAAATTATGAATGGAAGTCGAACAGGAAATCAGAACTTAATCCAATAAACATCACCGGCTAGTGATGACATCGAGAGTTGATTATGGTCTGGATGTGTGCAGTGATCGTAACCGTTCTAATCTTCTTAAAATCGGAGTCATCCGATGGCATGAAGAGTTGGTTATGGTCTTGTCATGTTAATTTATGTCTAAAATTAATAATTTAGATAATATTTCAGGCCTAAAGAAAGACATGCTATTATATAGGCAGATTTACCTCTTGCATAATGTATGTTTAAGCAATAGGAATCACTTGCAAACTAACAATATTATGACTGTTGAATCTCTAATAGCGATATCAGTCCAAGATGATTCAGTACATGTGATTTACAAAGATAAGTGGAAATAAAATTTAATCGGTCTATGTTGCTCGCTATGCAATAAACCGCCACCATTTTGTTGCCCATAAAAGTTGAATAATGGGCTTGTTTTAAATCCAATTTAATCCAAGTCAGGACATTATCTAGTGTTGGTATTTTGATTTTGTTTTCTAAATTAAAAGTTAAATAATCAATCTGAGTACATATTAGCGTGGATTAAAGTATACAATCTGCCTATTGCAGGTGTTTCTTTGTGCCTTAATTAATGTTATATAAATAATTAATTAGACATTTATTAACATGAAAAGACCATAATAAACTCTTGATGCCAACCGATGACTCCGATTTTAAGAAAATTAGAACGGTTACGATCACTGAACACAGCTTGTCAAAACTATAACTATTGATAACTTCGCTCAAAATAAAGTAATTTGAATGAATTGTTTTAATATATTCATTTTGCATTATCTATTTTTGAAATATAGCGAGAACGACCAGTTCTTTATCAAAATCTTGCATAATGCCCCTAGTAAATTTGATATTCTAGCAACAAATGGGATTGACGCATCTTTACTTTAAAGGAGCTAAATCGCTAATATTTGGGACCTAGAAATTGTTACAAATGGGTCGCAACGCATATAATAATGTAATATGAATGTATATAAACTGATTTACATTCAATCATTTATGTTTTTACTCTAATTTCAAATCAATTATGTTCGGCGAAATACGCCAGAAATCTCAATCGAATGAATATCAACCCTAACGTCTGGTTGTTCCAGTCTACATCGACACTGTAGTTATGGCGAATGCTTCCCAGATAAGAATATGTGATCACCGTTTGACATGACTTGTGGAATATGACTAGCCTCGTTCTTCGAGTCCCTTGTTATAAATGACGCTGAAACGCATGGTACACGATTCGTATACCAGTGGTAAAATATTTTGTCTTAAATATTGGATATCAGAAGCCCATCTTTTCGCGGTAAGATCACAATATCAGTGTTGATTTACATTGACAAATAATTCGTGTTTTCAATGTCGAAAACTTCGACAATATAAAATATCATAGCTATAAAAGTTAAAACATGTGACGATTAGCTGTACTTGTGATTAGACGCGTGACACATATATTGGACTTTTACGAAAATGGGGGGAGGGGGGCTTGCGTGCGTGGGAAATCACAAGATCTGTCATTGGGTCAAAGGGCGTGTTTCGATTCCCCGTTTGAACATGACAAGGAGTAGAGTCGCCTGTCCAACCTCGTGGGTTTTCTTCGGTTACTCTGATTTCCTCCCACTGCTAAAGATCCCTCCCCCTCCTCCCCCTCTCTCTCTCTCTCTCTCTCTCTCTCTCTCTCTCTCTCTTGCGAAATAATGATTGTTAAATGTGCCGTCTCAGAAATATTTGAGTGAATAAAACTGGTTAATTGGGAATGACAGAATTTCACAAACTTGTATCCACGCCCTCTCCACTTATCTGGGGTCATGTGATGCATTTTTTTAACTACATCGTATCCATATTCCAGAAGCAATGGTCCGAGAAATCCCTCTGACCATTGCTGGATTGACTTCTGATACTTGAGCTTTTGAGAGAGTGTGTCTATTCTTCCCATTTAATCAAATCTCTCCTAATCACAGCAACATGACGGCCCTTCGTTTAGTCTTGGGTCTTCCCTAAAACTTTGAACAACGATTTAAGGTATTAAAAACGGCGAAAGTATTGTTCGTCTCCAAGCAGTATTGTTTACATTGTAGTCGTTTTAATAGCCTCGTTTGTCACGCAAGTAGTTTTACTGCAATATTCTGCTATGCACTGGTTAATTGGGCGTAATATATTTCGTGAGTCATGACAAAGACTCAATAAACTTCTAAAATGTTGCACAAACCGATCCAACTACTTCATACTTCGAGAATAGATCTCTGCCCTAAATGACCGCCATATCCAAAAATTAGTATACTGTTTTGTAATGCGGTTCTACTCCGTTTCACATGTCATACACACAAAGACTGGATAAACCTTTAAAATTGTATTAAATGGAAGCAGAATAACTACTTAACAATACTCTCGAAGTATACTTAGTGTTTTCGGCTAAAACCGTCGATTTGGGACTTAAAATGTCGGTCAACTAACTTAGTGTCTGTTATCTAGCGGCCTAAGTTTGGTATGCCTGTCCAGTATACACAGCGGGATGTTTTGCACGCACAAAAAAGTCTGGAATTCGTCTTTATTAGTCCGGTTGGTGGAGGAAAGTAGGACGTTAAACCCCATTTCCTTTCCATATCAGATGTCAAGGCATGGCATTTATTAGTATAGTAATGAAAAACAATAATTGTCCGACTTCTTTGTAAAACAAACAGAAGCAGTGGGAGCAAAAGTCCCTTACTGCCGTGATGATAATTTAACTCATTTATTGAGCTTTGTCATAGTTCCTTTAATTAACTGATTAATAAATTAGTGTTTAATCTTATCGTCGAACGATTTCCCCCTTCCTCATAATAACTGTAATTTGACCGTAATTCGTTACGAGTAATTCTACAACATGGCTTATAAAATGAAATGAATTGTGGTTTAACATCCTACTTTTCTTCACCAACCGGGATAAGGAGGGAAATCTGACTACGGCCTACTTATTTCGAATTCCAATTGTTACGGAGGTTATTTTGCATGCACATCAAAGTCCCGTCTGAACGATAGGACACTGTCCCTTTGTCAGGCTCTCGGTACAGTAGCTACAATT